TCCTGAACCCTGTAATTGATTTACGACTCGTAGTTCCACGTTTCAAATTCCGTGCGTGTTATTATCGGCGCAGTTTGCAACGGCTATTATATTCTCCCAAGCATCGCATCTCAGAAATTTCAGAACGAACTTAACCGGAGATAATTCGACAAGTTGGCTGTAAGGGTAGCCTTAATCCGGTTGGTCCGGCGTACCTTCGTCCTCATCCATAAAGTCTCTCTGCATCTAGCTCAATTATCGTATATCGTGCGATAGTTTCGCCAAATCTTGCCGAATTGCTAAGCTACTGATCGGAGATTACGACAGTTTGCGACATAATGTCAAGTCAATCATAAGGAAGCCGTGAATTTATTATACCGAATTCGGCGTATCCTTGTTTGGTCAGCTCTCGAGAAGCCCGAAATCACCGGCAACCCTCGCTTGCGCGCGCGCGTAAGCCGCCTCGTAAGCTCCACCGCCAAAAGCCGTCCGAACGGGATCGGTACTTCACATCCGATCCGTTTCGTGTAGATGGATCTCCGAGTGCAAAAACTCCACGCAGATCTACGCTCACTTCGAAACGAAAATGTGATTTCGTGAGAGTTACAGCGGCAGTGTATTATGCTCAAAAGATAGAACGCGCTTTTTTGAATTTGGAGCTAATCTCGTGTAACTCCCTTTCGATGTCCTCCCCTCTGAAGCCGCGCGCGCGCGCGTGCGCGAATAAGCTCGGTAATTAAAATCCTACTCAGTCGTTTGCGTGTATTTCTTCGCCGGTTGGGTCGCTAACACACAAATACGTTCTACGAAAATTCCAGCTGACGCGGAGATCTTTCTTCTCATTACATCTACCTAGCCTTCTTCCTAGATCCTCTTATCCGCGTTTTATCTGCAAATCGCATCACAATGCAGATTGGTTCATCGATAGATTGGACGCTTTGAGAAACTGGATATTACTCAAGTCTTTACGATGTACATTATGACGTAATTTTTTGATTAATAGTACAAGTAATTTAAAATACATCATAAAGTCTTTTCTCCATCAAAAAGATATGAATATGCAAGACTCGGAGAAAAAAGTTATTATATAAGCCATATACGTCAGGGTCAGAAGTTTTTGCGGTATATTCATCAAATGGATATAATTACTAAGCTTGCAGCGCGAAGCGATAACGTTAGTTAATATTTCCACGTACTGTGCAAAGAGCTCTGTCTTGTCACTCGGGTGGCATCCAAGGGGAGTAAGACAGAGCCCGAAACTCTACGCTCGAAATCATTCCAAGTTACCCGTGTACCGTGAAGGGTGTCGGGTGGCGGGGTAAGATCCCGATTACGTTCTACCTTGCTCCGGCTCGTCGGCGAGATTCCTCCGACAGTTGTAGCTTCGGGAATGTCTACGCCCTTCTCTCGTAAGCCTGCGATCTTGCCTACGGTAGACCAGGTTGAGATAAGGGAGAGAAAGGAGAAAAGAGAGAGGGAAGGAGAGAGAGACCGTAAAGAGGATGTTTTTGAAGCACGAGGGTGGCGAATTTTTGTCTGGATTATGCTCACTTCGTCCCGAATCTCGTCAATGCATCTTCTCCGCGAGAACGAGATGTTATCGGAAATTGCGGGCGTTGTCTTTCTTCGCGAAATAGCGACTGGACATCGACTGAAATCCGCCAAATTTTGCGGCGAATATGATAGCATTTGCTGTACACGCACGTATCGCGTGTAAGTCAACACATATACATGATACTGCTCTCTGTTCTGTGCGGTCATGTGTATGTGTGTGTGTGTGTGTGTATTCTATAGTGCATTGCTCGAGTGCATTAATTAAATACATTCCTGTCTCCTGCGGCGCTTTAACCGACCGAATGTCCACCACCTTTGATTGTCCACGGAGTTGTCCTATTGTGGCCGGTGAAACGGTCTCTCTGTCGCACGAAATCTCGTGGGCGGTGAGAGTTGTTTTGATGAAGCCGCCGCCGTCTGAATTTATTAACGCGGCGTTAACGGGTTTCGTACTTCTCGTAGGCCCCCCCGTCGGGGCGTTGCAAGTGACCGGCCGCTGATTTTCGCTAACACACGAACGCCGAGCTTTCGGACGGCATTATTCGTAATTGTCGAGGGATTGCTCGAGCCCGAGCTACTCGATGTACGAGCCACGTTTTGCATGCTCTTTCGCGTTCGCGTGCCTCGCACTACGTACGGATTATAGGTATTATTTCTCGCGTCGGTTCGCGTTTAAGATTACCCGCCGATCGATATGGCACGTACAGCGAGATATCCGCACGGTTAACATGTGATTTCTCGCAGAAACATTGCGCTTTCAAGTCCAAGATGCTATCTCGCACCGAGAAATCGAAATATTTCACGAGATGAAGATAACCAAAGCGATTTCACGATTCGACGATAAAATAGACACGAAGCGGGACGCGTAACGCATTAACAACAACCGAGGAACAATGAATACTTTATTCGAGAATTTAAATAAGGCGAACCGACGGACGGATCAGACTGTGTCTGAACTGTTTTCGTCGAAACTACTGTGCGAGAATACGAGATGCCTCGCGCAAGACATCGGTTTATCTTTATATCTCCTGCAACGAAAGAGATAGAGGCGGCTAGCAATTGTTCGATACGCCACAGCGTTTAATAAATGAAAGCGCTCGCGGAAAGCAAGGTGAACGCGGACTAGACTTGCCTTTATCTTTATTTCAGACGAAGTCGTTTTGTACCTCTCTTTCTTCCTTGCTCTTCGTTAAACTCATGAAGAGACCAGTATTCCTATCGCAGCCGCCCTTACTTACGGGGCGCCGACACCTTTTCACGGTCGTTGGCGAACCTTGCTCTCATGGGGCAGGCGCCCGACGTCGATTAGGTGCATTATTAAATACGGTCAGAGATGGTCGCAATATAACGAACCGAATAAAACGAAGTATAGGTAGCGCGCGAGCAAAGTCGCTGAATATTCAGGCGCGACGAGAACATTATATTTCAGTGCCGTCTACAGACGTTTGTTCCGCGACTATAAGTTTCTAGTTAGAAACTTTCCCGACAGAGTATAAAACCAATTTATACTTCAACAGGAAGTCTACAAAGAAATGGTTTAAGCGCGTCATTTTCGCGCGCCACGGTAAAATCTTGTCTATCAGATCGATCTTTTAAACGTTCCTCGACATTGCATGACAAATATCGCCTGGCTTTCAGCAGAAATATGTAGCTTAAAATCAAAAAATAGGATTTAAAAATTGGAAAATATATGAGATATTATAGATATATGACAAATTCGATCTGAAGAGAATAAAGATCGTATGTGTGAATAAAATAGTTATCGTGAATAATCGCGCTTGGTCCTTTTTGCGGCGAGTAAAAACTCGTTAGGAGTCATGCGGGACAAGCCCGCGTTCCTCCGACGCTTTGAGTGCGGAGAACCATTAACCTGACACGTAAGTGGCGTTTTTCGTTCTATAGGGTCGTAATTAAAAATTCTTGTGTAGTTTGAAAGTGGATTCATACGGAAGTTCAGCGTGCTGGCGGGCCAAAGTTCCGTGCTCGCTTGCGAATCGTGGCACTGACGGCTACTCGGAGCCATTACACTAAATGATCATTAATTGCGAACTCTGGGTACATTATGCGAATTACTTGAGCGACAGTCATGTCGCTAATATTAAGTTTCTTGGTAGAAGAATGCTGGCATCTTACTCAATTATAACTTCCGGCAAAATTTGCTTATTAGTGATAAAGAAAATTCTGATTTATCGTACAATCACTTATAATCTTACAATTCTGGTTTATCTTACAATCATTTATATGTTGATGTTTTTATTATTTGATAATCTTTCTTTTGATTAAGTTTATCTTTGTGATTTTAAAGGTATCGAAATTAATCTCCCTAGATTAACAAAATTTTATATATACATATATGTATATATAATATGTTTCTGAATTATTATTCTTAAACTCTAAAAAACTATTTAAAATGCATCTTTTTGACATAAATATTTTTAAACAGAAATATTATTAAATATGTATTAAATGTTTCCTTATAATTCTACATTTCGGAATTCTCGTTGTACCTTTATATATAAATCGTTACGCGTGAGTTATTGTTATGTTTACACTTTAATTGTTTCACTTGTGATAATGATTGGAGGCAATAATTAAAATTATACTATACATATATACATGACTGTATCTTGATATGGTGTAATTTCAATTTGATATATGTTCAGAATTGTGATGGCACGCGATGTAGCCGAATTCAATCATATACCATGCAGCATCACTTCGCCACTACGAGCTCGTTATCGTATCATCATCGTTGGTAACGAGCTCGTACCATCATTACGTTCATTGATTCGCGAGCCGTGATTCGTTGTATTGTTAGATTCGAGATATCCTCGGAAATACAGGTAATAAATAATTGCCCAATGCTGTCTTTGTTATCTTGTCCGTAAGATCTAATGTGCTTTCAACTGTTTAATGCGAGATGTAGCGCGACGAATTTTAAAAACTTTGTTAATAATTAAATATTTCATTTATTGAAAATGAGCTAGTAATGAGCTAATAAGCCTTGCAAAAAATCTGCGAAGTGGAGTAATTGGGACCATTAGATAATATATATATATTGTATATCACGGTAATTCCAATAAAATTACTAAATCTCATCTTTTTACCGTTTCTTAATGATTATTAAATGTCACATGTATATTTTAAGTTAATTTATAGCGACTGTTAATTTTAGCATTTTTCTTTAATTACTACATCGCTTACCCGATGGTTTCAGTTCTGATCACTTGAACGTAACGCGTTTTTGGGATGATGTTCCGGCAGGTAAACCATAGGGTAAACAACGTGACGTCAGTGGAGTCCAAGGTTGAGCAGGTGCCGGCAATCGGGAAAGAAGAAGAAAGGGAAGGCGCACGAGAGTGCAGGCAGGAGGGAAAGCCCCGGGGGTGGCTCGTGCGCGGGCGCGGCTTTGCGGGTCAGAGTGCGTCGGGTATATAACCGGGCGGATGCCGTCGTCCCTTAGTCTCGCGCTTATCGTCGTCGGGACGACCCGTCCGAGCTCGACGCCGACGCCGATTGTCGTCGTGATCTGTGACATTCCGATGACGTTGTGCGGTTCGTACCGATCTGCACGTCGTGTCGATCGGCAAAATGCGCGATAACAGATGACAGATCGTTGGGAGGTGTCTGCGTCAATTCCATCGCTAATTCGTCATCGTCAACTTTTGATGATATTACCGATCAGTGAAAAAATACCGTTTTTATCTTTACAATCGCATTTAAGCGTCTTTGACACGAATCACATGCTCTATCATGCGATAATTAAAAGTTATAATGAAAGGTAGAACAATCACGCAGAAAAAGACCATACATGATATGAAGGTACTGCATATTTCAAATAGAATATTGCGGTAAATTCAAATAATTGAAGCTATCGAATATCTATAATTGAAACTTGTTCATAATTTCTATCTCACGAAATTTTCTCGTCCCTCCGCCAAAAGTCGCTCAGTACGAATCGGCGCGTACGAACAAAACGATCGTTGAAAGACTATCACCGGAGCATTTGAGAATGCTCCACTTTTCGCTCGAGTGTCATTTCACCGGAGGCAAATAGCGAGAATCTGTGAGATTGTTCATCGGGGTATCAGAAGTTTGAATCTTGGGGATCTTGGGTTGCCGACCAAGTAGAATCGGGGGGAAAAATTATCGCGATACTTGTCCAGAGATTGGATTCAACGGTGCGAGAGGTGAAGCCGGAGGAAGACGAGGTACAAGAAAGAAGCAACCAAGCGGTAGTGGCGCCGGGAAAAAAAGATAGAAAAGCGCGCAATAGTGAATGAGAAACAGGGGGTTGGCGGGAGATGAAGGCGCTGCCGCGGAGGATTTCAAGCCGTGTCCCCGGCGAGATAGGAGCCGTTTGTATAGATCTATATGCACAGTAAAATTGTGGCGACGTAGGAGTTCTCGCTACGAGTATCTGGGTCATACAGCCGTTCTCTCTCGGCGTTGTAACCTGCTCTCCATAATTCTATGAAATTCTCCCGATACTGCAACAAAGTAGAGCATCCATTGACGATCTAGACGACTTCTCACTCTTAAGATGCTCGAGAAGCACGCCAAACTAGGACGATAAAAACAATATAATTGATATACTAAATATTGAATAAAAGAGCACACGTAAAATATAAGATAAGAGCATAATCGCAAAACTCGTGCTTGCGTAATCAAAACTACGAGAACATTTATCCAAATAGATGGATAACAATGCGAAAATATGCAAAATATCGGACCGCGATTTGCTCCGGAACAAAACCTCCAGTTTACAGAACCATCTTGTTAATGTCGCTTAAGTCACGCGTTAAGTGAATATATCGTGTTTTACTCCGCCGGGAGAATCTGTAATGATCCGTACGAATCAGTGATTTGTGGTTGGATCGGTACGATACCGGTCGCGTGCGCGGTAACGAGCTGTCACGTCGTTACGCGATTACGTAAAAAGAATCTACCTGGGTTCCCCCCATGGGGACAATTTCCGAGGAAAGTCCACGCGCAAGGGCTATTATCCGAGTCGGTAGCGAGAGGTTCGCGCGCGAAATCCGCTGTTACCCTTCATCTAGGACACGGTCGGGCCGGCCGACCCGATAAATAATGAACCCCCGCAGTCATTTATCAAGCTCACCGCGAGACGAACGAATGCTCGGGGTATCGTTGAGGACGGTCTAAATGGGAGAATCCAACGCGAGGCACCGGCTAGCACCGCAAGATACCGCGTCGTATAGCCGCGAGGGTTACGCAGAAATCATGTCCCCTTGATTCGATCGAGAGCTTACTCGAAAGCCAATGTGTTATCCTTTAGGACTTATCTATTCACAAGATTATCGACAAAATAAATATCGTGAAATGTGCTGGAGTTCGCGATCGAAGTGATATTTAAGAAGCGACCCTTAAACGAGGAGACACAGCACGTCTTCTGTCGATCGTGTGAACTCTCCCCTGAGCGCTCGTCTTAGAAATGCGAGAGTCAGCTGATTCCGATCGCGATCAGTGTAGTAACACCGGGCAATGCGAACGAATTCCACGCAGGAGATAACGGCGTCCGCAAACGTACGGTTCGCGATTTGATGATAGTGATCGCGCTTCGGACTTCGCGATTCGAACGAACGTGAGGGCTTGTCTCGTGCGTGGTATCAAGCAACGCCGAGTATCATGAAGCGACGGAACAACGGTTCCTCTTGCTTCTGTCAGACGTCGGCCAAGAGGGGCGGGCGCGGCGGATGCAATGGTACTGAGGCGAACGAGCCACCCGGATGGTGTATCTACGCGGCGGTCGCCCTCGTCGCGGTCGGTTGCTATCTAAATGCGCTCGACTGCGACTTCGTGCACGACGATATACCGGCGGTGGTGAGGAACAGGGATGTGATCGGCGAGGCATCGTGGAGCAGCGTGCTCAACGACGATTTCTGGGGCACGCCGATGGAGAGCATCAATAGTCATAAGAGTTATCGACCATTCACCACTCTGACGTTTCGGTAAGTCAATATTTCTCTCCGTCACATTTATCGGGTTCTATATTATAGAATAATTTGTGGAAATTCGATAGAGAATCGACTCGGTTGTGGCATTCAATGCGGCGACATTCAAGATAACTATATAAATAACTAGATACATCGTGCGACAAGAAATCGTATTATTGTCGTACAAAATTATATATTCAGATCATTTGAGTACATAATATAAGATGAAATGGATAAATATCATTTTAGATATCATCGCTTTCTTCTACGTAACTTCTTTTCTCTTTTTCTTTTGCATTTTATTCGTCATGCTCTGACCTCTTAGAACAATCTGTTAAACAGAAAAGTGAATACAATTCGGTGCACGACTATTCGGATAAAATAAGATAACAAAAACTTGTCTCGAGAAACGTGTCTAGTTGCCTGACGTTCCAAACACATGGCACGACCACGTAGCTAGCAGCACCGATATCCTCCGTTCTTACCGAGACATCGAGAGAATCGCGTATGTACATAATACATATATATACATATATATATACATATATAGGTATCCTTGCAATCGGAGATGCACCTTATGGTAGTACTACGAAGAACGGCAAGAACCGTTCTCTGACCACGATGGAGGCGACCGAGCATACGATAGTGTGTGCAGTAGCGTGTCGTGTAAAGCACACGAAACTTCCACTCCCCTCGCCCACCCTCTCTGTCGTTCATCCACCTCCCCCTGCCCGCTCTGCCCGCCGATTTGATGCATGGATACCAGTTTGCCACTCCACGTGCAATACTGCATATTGGCTGGTATTGGACGATCCATCACACCGCAAGACACCGGCACATCGCTCATCCACCCTTAACGCTCCAGATGCTGTTGCCAACTTCGACGAGGTGTGCGGCCGCGGAACGTGCTACGCGGGACGACGGGGGCCGGGAAGGGAGGGGGAGAGGGGGAGAGAAGGGAAAGGGGGCGAGAGCATAACGCCTTCACGTTTCGCGCGTTATCGGAAGTGGAACGCATCCATAATCCTTGGGCGGATGCGAGGACGCCGGCGCCGCGGCGCGCCGCTAACCGCATTCGTCTCGTCGGGAAGACGAGCCTTTAACGATCCAAATCGCCACTGACGTGCGAGGCTGCCTTTATATTGCGCGCGAGGCGAAGAGATACCCGATATCTCTCATTGTTGTCGCTAAGCGATTCGAGTGGAGGAGTAATTTATGCACGTGCGAAAATGCGCCATTTACGTTGACATGCGGTTAAAAGGATAAGCGAAGATTTATGTGTTAGCCGTTAAGGCGAGAGAGTTGTCTATCGGGGACGGTTGATACATTACCACTTTCATCCCTTATTTGATGCGAAGCGTATGTATATATACATACATACATATATTATGTGTGAGTGAGCAAATACGAATACTTTTATCTTATTTAATAATCTATTCTAGCATTTTGTTGCGTCTGCGATAAAATGAACTTGTCACAAGAAAGTAGAATTCGAGTATGTTGGATTTCCTTTATTCGTCGATAGCTCGTTCCGATAATTCTTTCTCTGTGGACAATCATGCTTCGAGTTGCCGATATATCGGGTAAAAAGCTTTGGGCAATTGCGCGTTTCTTCCTATGTGTGTTTCATTCTCTATCCTTTCCGGGCAACGCGTCTCTTTTCGTTGCCCAGTTTCTTTATTGCCGCGAAACTTTGACGACGCTCACTGTACGTTGCTTTGAGGATTCGAGTTCGCGGATGAAAACGCACTGGGACGACCCCGAAAGTCCAGAGTACATTTGTGGCAGTTGACCCGATGCCTTCCGCACACTCGGACCGTTCTAAAGTTTCCGAGAGATTGCCGGGTGTTTCCTCGAAGCAACCGTCGTATTCTGCCGTGCTCGCTTTTATACGCTTCATCATCGATATCATCGTGCGACGTGTACAAGCTATCTCCACGAAACGATAAACGTGGGTAATCTTGTACTCAACATACATGGCATATCATTTCGAAGAATCGCACCGACGATCGTTCTCCCTATATTTAATTCATCGTTTGATCGCTTTGCCGACGCTTTTGACGCGACGGGTGCTAATTGAGATGATATCAGGTGTGCGAACGGCGTACCTTATCGCAAAGGAGTATTTGAAAAGCAGTTACCCACAGTTATTTGCAGTCCGGAGAATCGCGTGGGCACGTATTTGATAGGAAAAATGGGATTTCATGCAGGTTGTACGTATTTCAGCTACTTCGTTTTGCCCGGAAATAATTTACGAGTGCGGTCGAGCGTGAGTCTTTGCCCCGGCGGCGGCGTCGAATGAATAACGCAGAAAGCTCGCCGAGCGATTCGTTTCCACGTTTGCGAGAGAGTGAACTTTACGAGAGAGTTGGCGACTATGTTAGATTATTACGGCCGCAAATAGAAACTGACCGTGGAGTACGCTCCGCTAGAATATAGTTCGATAAAGCACAAAGAGTGGATAAAATCAAATAACTCCTTATTACCGTTGAGGTTGAGAGAATGTACAGGTGTCCAGTAATACATTCGTTTATCGAGTTTGCGTCAAAATAGACCGTATTAATTCATGATTCAATATTTATGAAAAGCTATCAAAATTTTATAGAATTCGCGAAACGCGCGAGTTAATAATCGCTTTCGATTAAAATTGAAAAAAATATTAGCTCGATTTGATGTTAAATTGTAATATATTTTGCTCCATATTTAAATCCGATGCGTTTAAGAGGGATTATTAAAATTCTGCAAACACTGAATTTACATTTATTTTATAATTAATACGGTACGCGTTCTCACGTTCACGTGATATCGCGTTGTTTATGTCAATTTTGTTAAGAGAAATCTTCTCGGTGTGACGGAATATTCGTGGCTCTATTATGTTCTTCTCTAACGGATTTGTCAACGCATCCTCGGTGTATTTTGTTAATACATATTATACTCACCCACATGCTCCCGCTCGCGGAACTCTCACTCGTACCCGTATAATGACGATCGATATAATCGCGTTCGCTGCAAGTTAGAATTCATATCGTTTCCTCGGAGATCGTTCTTCGTCTCATCATATTCGGTCAAAAAAACAGTGGATGCCACGCGATTCAACTTGACGATAAAATCGTGTCGGTGGATCTCCACTGATTTTTCTGCAATTGCCAGTGACTTTGAAGCATTATTTAAATTTAGTAACGTCGATTTGTTTGTAGATCATATCGAAGCACGATTCACAAATTCTAAAGGAAGACCCATCTTTTTCTCTAGGCTTTTTATATTTAAATAGTCATTTAAAAAGACATTAAGTGACATCGATTAAAAAGTTATCTCATACAAATAAGACTTGATCGATCGTTCATTTACTCACAAACGCTCTCTTTTACTGGCTCGGTGTAGTTAGCATTTTACTGACATTGCCAGTTAAATCACGATCAACAACTAAGTCCGCTAAGCGTTAGCCGGTGATTTATGAGTCGGTCGACAGCGGCGATGGGCCGCGCTTTGCGGCCGTCCTCCCTCTATGAGGGAATAATTATTATTAAATTACTTAACTGGACACACACGCGCGCATGGTAGAATCTCGTTCCACGACATTAGTGACACGCAATGAATGGTTGCGTTGCAAACTCTAATTTATACGTCCGATATAGCTTTGCGTTTGCCTGGCACGTACGCCTCGCATTCGATTATGTTGACCGTAATATTTCATTTAGTCTTGTAGCTAACCCTTGTCATTGAATTAGATATTGGGATATCATGCTATATACTGTTCTATGCAAGAAAGTTCAAAGGCACGTATCTCTATCTTCAAGATGTAGAAATACGCTGTAAAGTTACAATATCATTGAAATTTCGACGTGACGATATTATTATATTTTGTTATTTCCATATCCAAAACATGAATATGCAAATCCGTCAATTTCCATATATAAAACTATTATCTAATTACATCTTACATATTCTAAATCTGTGTAACAATAATACAAATTTATATTAAAAGACATTGTTTAATTATTCATGAATGCAAGAAGATAAATATTTTTAATTTTCTAAAAATTAATTTTTTAGATAAGTATTTTTAATTCTTTGTTTAATGACATAGAATGTTGATACTTTATTTTAAACAAATTATTACAGACACAATTTGTCGACAAAAAAAACTTGAGTTTTCGCGTCTCATGTTAACATAATATTATTATCAAAATGGTTATACTATCGATAATATCGCATGTAATGTTATTGATTATTTACATAATGTTATAATTGGTGGACGAACAACGAAAGAAAATCATATAAATATAAATGTGTATATGCGAAGCTTGACACATGCGCTCCGACAATGTAGTCGTATTTTGGTATGAGTTCAAGAAAGAGATATCGCATCCGAGAGTGTACTTCCATTTCAAAAGTAGGCATTTCCACATTTAAGTGCATCGCGTTTCCTTCTGGCATTCTTGGTTCATGGCGGATAGAGAGTTCTTCCCGTTTTATTTGAGTTATTCAGGCAGGACAATTTCATGAGCGAACTGTTTAGTCCAAGTATATCCGGGGATACGACAAGAGCCGTACTTGCATATCGATGCGAGATGGACATTCTAGTTTCAAATGCGACAAGAATGTACGATTTTATGTATCTGTGAATATTCTTTCAACCCAGTCGTGACGAGGAACCTGGAGAGCGCATTTGTCTTCTCCGAGATGTACTACTTTCGTTTATTGGACCGGCGTACTTTGACTTGTTACATACAGGCTACGTTATACACAGACGAAGATGAGATTTTGCATATTTAAAGAAATGAAAATAAATCTACCATTGCGTTTTAAGCTTTACGAAAATTTAATAAATGTACCATAAATATACATCTACTAAATGTACAGTGCTGCTGTTAAATTATAAATCACATTATATGAAACGAATAAAAGTCATATGCAATTAAAAATGTTTGGCGAATATCTTGTAAAATATTTTCATCACGTTATAAAATCATACAGATCGAGGCTTTATCAAGAATCATTCCCAGTTTCAGCGA